AGGGGTGTCAATTCGGGTCAACCCGCCGGGTTCGGGTCGAACCCGACCCGACCCGAATCTAAACGGGTCAACCCGAACCCGACCCGTTTTTACAAACGGGTCGGACATTTCAACCCGGACCCGACCCGGCCGGGTTGCCGGGTTGACCCGACCCGACCCGCGACCCGGTTGTTTCTTGATCCAATCATTGAGAAGCTCATCAGCGCTGGCTTCCGTTACTTGAAAGATCAAGTCAGATGGCAGAAACGCACGAAGGAGGAGCTGGAAAAGCTGAAAGAGATTCTCCCCCATATCCAAGCAGTCGTCCACTTTGCTTCCAGCCAAGAGCAGATCACCGAAGTACATGGAGCTTGGAAAGCAGGTGACCAAAGACAAGAAGCTGAGAAGGGTGCGTTCCATCATGAAATCCATGAAGAAAAAACTTGTCAAATTTGGCAAACGTGCTCAAAATTGATCCCACCTTGAAGCGACTGGAGAAGGCTGTGCAGAAACTTGATAAAGTTACAACAACTGGTGTTAATACTTTCCTTCATCTTGTAAAAGACGCAAAGGAGCAGTGAAGGCTGAGGAATCCATCAAATGAGCATCAGAGAACTGATTTGTACAGAAATATTTATCTATTTTTTTTTAATTAAACGGGTTTTCGGGTTGACCCGGTAACCCGCCGGGTCAACCCGACCCGACCCGTTTTATCAAACGGGTCAAATCTGCCAACCTGAACCCGACCCATTTATCAAACGGGTCGGGTCCAACCCGGATTTTCTGGGTCGGGTCCGGGTCGGGTTGTCGTGTCGTGTCAAATATTGACAACCCCTAACCGCAGCTATTGACCAGCGGTTCAATTGCCAGTATTAAACATAAAACCGTCAAAATTTCTGGCGGTCAACTAACCACCGGAAATACGACCAATATTTTCTTTAGGTGGCAACTTTTACCAGCGATTTAGCCGCCATTTTTAAGTGAAATTTTTTTAGCGGTTAAAACTGCAAGAAAACTGTCAGAAATGGACCTTAAATTGGCCTCCCCCGCCCTTCTTCCTCATTTGTTCACGTTGCTCATATATTTCATTTAGATGCATGCGCCCTCGCCCTCGCCCTCTGAAGTGCGTTCGTTTTGTCAACAAAACTCCGGCTGCCAAACATCGCCCACTACTCGCACCTGACGCCCTCACTCTAGCCGCCAAACGCCCCCGAAGGTGATCTCCTCCTTTCATCTCCTTATTTTTTGCTTTAGTCATGGATGTTCTCGTTAGACATTTGCAAGAGGATTTACCTTGGTTAATTTTTGTTGTTCTTGTTGATATTCTTCTTGTTGATAAGACTAGAGAGGGAGTTAAAGGTAAACTTGAATTATGGATATCAACCTTTCAACCTAAAGGTTGATTTTGAGAAACCCTTAAGCCCATATCATTTTGCTTTAGTCATGGATGTTCTCAGTAGACATGTGTAAGAGGTTATACCTTAGGTTTTTTTTTTTTTCCTGATGATATTATTCTTGTTGATAAGACTAGAGAGGGAGTTGAAGGTAAACTTGAATTATAAAGGTTAACTTTAGAGTATAAAGGTTTTCGCTTGAGTAGATCTAAAACATTAATATATGAAGTGTAATTTTAGTAGTAATACACTTAGTGAGGGGATTGTGATTTTGGGCGATTAAGTCATTAATAAGAGTACACATTTTAGATATATTCGATCTCTTATTCATAGTGAAGGTAAAATAGATGGGGATATTATCAATAGAAAGCAAGTTGGATGGTTGAAGTGGAGGAATGCATCGGGCTTGTTGTGTGATAGAAAAGTCCCCCTCAAACTTAAGGGAAAATTATATAAGATGATGGTAAGACTTGCAATGTTTTATGGTGCCAAATGTTGACCATTAAAAGAGAAGCATAATGCTACGTTAAGTTTTGCAGCGATAAGTCACCTTACATGGTTTGGTCGTTTAAAATGGTGGGCTTCCGATGACTCGATTAGTAGAAACCGAATCGAGTATGTGAGAGTTCATGTTTGTGTTCGTTTATTACTAGCTTGTTCAAGTTTGGTTCGTGTTTAAATCGAGCTTTATTATTTGTGTTCATGTTTGATTTGTTTAAATTAATGGTTTTCATGTTTGGCTCATGTTCAGTTCATGTTCAATTCGTTTAGTGTTTATTGAGTTTTAAACAAACAAGCCTTAACGAGCTCTGCTCGTGAACATATTTAACAAATTTTTTTAAACTATCAAACAATGATGTTCATGAACAAATCTAACGAGTTTTCTTGAGCTATCAAATGAACAAGATTTAACGATGTCATACAATAAATTATCAGTTGTAAGGAAATTAAAACTATAACATATATTATAGTAGTTGATTACTTTAAAATTTATTAATTAAAATAATTATATCATTATGTTATAATATTTTAAATATTTATATTATGTATATTTATCAATTTTATAATTAAATATTAATTGATTTTTTATTGAGCTTATTCACGAGTTTTGAATTGAACATAAATTGAGCTTCTTATCGAGCTCAATGTCGAGCATGTTCACGAGTTTCAAATGATGTTGTTCGTGAACATAAATGAACTGAACACATTAGTGTTCAAGCTTGTTTATTTAACGATCGAGTATTAAAAATATTATTCAAGTTTGTTTGTTTAGTTAGTTAAACGATCACACACGAGCTTTAATCGAATCAGGCAATGAGTAGCTCATTGAATGTTTTGTTCACTTGTAGCCCTGCCGATTAGGAAAGTAGAGGTATTCGATTTGACTTATATTAAGAAAGGTAGAGGTAGACCCAAAAAAACTTGGCTAAAAAATATTAGAAATGATATTTCTATATTAGATTTAAACAAGATTTAAGGCTGCATCTTTTCTAATAATTCATTCAACAACTATGTAGGGAATGTTTGCATTAACATATAAATGACTATATAAGAAGAGAGATATGATGTATAACAGATTGTTACAGGATCAAATAGGGTTGATAGATAAATTTATGTAGGGAGTTGAGACTTTTATTTAAGTCGCATCTCAACTAACTTCGTTTAAGTCTGTTGAATGTTTAGATGTCCACACTCGAAGCACAAAAATTAAGCATTCCTTAAGTCCGGTGAAGTAAATGTTGATTTATATCATATGGGGATTTCTTCCAAGCTACTAGATTTGACCTCACATGACGAGTACGAGCCACACTGAGATACTAATGCCGGTGCATCCACAACTTTTTAAATAGTTGATGAAGATGAAATGAGTAGAACGTATGAAAACTTTTTTTTATGCAACATGTCATAATTTAAAGGACAGCGTGGAAAAGCCACCAAACACAGAAAGTAAAAAATTATTTGAATTATTATATGCTTCTCAAATACTAATTTAGGATTGTTGCAAAACTTATTCAAAATAATCGATTATTGTTAAGATGCTAAGTATAAAAAATGAATATAATATTCATCATAATTATTTCAATGACTTCATTGATCTTCTCATGAAAATAAATTCAACGAACATTTTAATCAGCACAAATTTATATTGAATAAAGAAATTTGTATATAAGTTGGGTCTCACTAGTATAAAAAATTGATTTTTATATAAATGAATGTATGTTATACTACAAGGATGATGCGATAAAAGTTTATTGTCGCACTTACAATGCGCCTCGGGTTAAAGAAAACTCAAAAAAATATCATTGTCAAAAGAAAGATGTTCTATATTCTCTTTTATTTTATTTATCGATTATTCCAATACATCAACTGCTCTACGCATCAATGAGTTTAGCAGGTCATATTAGATGATATAACGAGAAATTAGTAAATAATGATGTTCTATCTGGTCAATCAGATGCTGAAGCGTGAAAAAATTTTGATCGAATGCATGCTTCATTTGCTGCTGAGCCACGTAACATGATTTTATATTTTTATAAGTTTTATTTGATTTATTATGAATTATTGAAATTTTAACCCTTAATGAAGGGTTAATTTTGATTAGTTTTGTTTGGAGATCAATTAGTGTCAAATGGGGGTATATTTAAATCCTAAGGTGTATGATGTCTTTAAGTTAACTAAGCTTGAAGTTTTACCCCTATTGGGTGTATGTATAAATTCTTTAAAAAATTTTAAGTTCACTAGACAAAGTCTTTTATTATTGTCCTTAAGTGTCACTAGTGTTGACATAGGTTTACAAATCATTGTGACTAACTCTTGCATATACACAATGCCACAACAAAATAGTACTCTAAATCTAGAGAATTAGGCATATACACATTGTATTATAATTCTAAAATAAATGAAAATAATGAATTCCAAACATTTAGGTCAAATAATGACCTAAACATTTGGAAATTCAATTATGGAACAATAATTGATTAAAATAGCATAATAATGTCATGCTAGATTAAGAGTTTATAATAACATCATCTAGCCAAATTTGAATCCAACCCATTGACTATCCAAAGAGTAATTTAAGAATAAATTGAAAATATTATTAATGCAATTACTCTTTACATAGTCAATGAATATATCTAAGTTTGTTTTTTATTTGAAAAATGATAATCGACTAATTCTAATCAATAGTTATATGCAACCATGTATCTTAATCCATATGGATTAAGTATGCTAAATTTCTAATTACTTAGGTTGAATAGTGACTCAATCACTTAGAAATTTTGATTAACCTCAATAAGTAATTCAATTGTGACTAAAAAAATTAAAGGATGCATGTAATATCCTATAGTTTTTCTCTGCCAAACTTGAACCCATTTTGATGAATGGTTTAAATATATTCAAATAAATATAGAAACCTAATAACTAAAATTATGGTCTAACCATTCATCAAATTATATTCATTTTAAATTTATTAAATAGTGCTCTTCAAATTGAATCCATAGAGATATTATATGCCTTTTTTGGATTAGAAATGAATTTATTGAAATTTTTCAAAGTTTCTAGTTTTAAAAATAATTATTTAATCTCGATTATCTAATTGGTGATGACTGTATAGGGGACTTTACGTGTGGAAGCAAGCAATTGGGCCATCTCGGATGGTGGCAGTCAGCTGACTCGGATAATTTAAAGTTTGGTGATAAAGGCCAAATGATCATAGTTTAGTGATGATGATTGTAGGGCCATAATTGGATGATGGTGCTTGAGAGATCATAGTTAAGCGATAGTGATAAGAAGATTGTAGTGGTGTGACAATGGTTGGTGAATCATAATTGGATAATGGTGGTCACGAGAATGTAGACAAATAACAAAGATTATGAGACTTTGACATGACAATAATAGTTAGAAGATTATAGTTGATGGATGGTAGTTGGAGGACCTAATCAGACGATAGTGGTCAAAATATTATAGTTGGGTGATAATGGTCCAAGAACCATAATTAGGTGATGATGTCTGGTAGAGGGTTGTAATCGGGCAACAGTGGTCAGATGATCATATTCAAATGAAGTTGGTCTATGATCATATTTTTAGGGTATCATGAAATGTTTTTTTTATCAATCTAAAATGAAACTTTTGTTGTGTTTATAATCCCATAGATTCGAAACTATTTTGAGCATTTTTTTTGGGAAATGAAGAGATCTGATATTCAAAATGATTATATTATTCTTTTTAATATAAAAAGATAATGACACAATTGTCCCATAAAGTTAAAAAATAAGAATTTATGAAAAATTATGTACCTTTATATCTCTTATATGAAATCTAATATAAAATAATTTGGGTATCTTTATATTAAAGTAAAAGTACATAAATATTTTGTAATTTTATTGTAAGAAATTATAATCTAAATTTATTTTAAGAAATTCTAATCTAAATTTAATTAAATTGATTAAACACTCATCAAATTTACTTCAAAATGTAATATAAAACTAATTAAATTAAATTAATATTAAAATAAATTTAATGAGTGCAAACTCCATGTTAGAATATTCATCTAATATGAATTTTAAATTTTAAAATTTAAATTATTTTTTGAGTTTTTTTTCTTCTTTAATTTTTTTAGTGCAATTTTTAAAATTCCTCTTATTAATATTACATGCGGATGTCCGTACGTAAACTTTTTCCGCGACTCTGCCCGTTATCCCTTTAAAACCCCCACAATCCCCGTCTTCCCTTCTCAACTCCATTTCTCGCAAACCCATCTGTCCCTCTCGTTCTCCAATCGTCTTCTTATCATAAATTCTTCCCTCCAAAATCGTCAAAACTTGTCTTCAAAATATAGAACATCAAAGCTCGAAATCCAAAAAAAATATAATCTCTTCAGTTCACTCATTATCCAGATTTGATCTTTACCTCCTTTCTCCTCTCTGCTCTTGGAATTCACAATGGAGAAATCGGCCCATTGGCACGGCCGGAAGAAGCCATCCTTCTCCTCTTCCCTACTCGACTCTATCTACCGCTCTATCGACGACTCCAACGGCGGATCACCGGGCCCTGCCCTCTCCTCCACCTCAAAAAGACAGATCCCTTCCATCGACAAAAAATGGATCCCAACACCTCAACCTCCGGCGAATCTCCGCCGCCACTTTTCCACCTCGAGCTCCTCCGACTGCTCCAGCTTCGGCGGCTTCTCCTCCTCCGACGCAGACTCCACTGCTCGCACTTGCCCCGCTCTTACCCGATGCGATCGCTTATGCTCGGATCCGCCACCAGAAAGAAAGAGGCAAGGCTCGATCCGTAGCCGGATCCGCGATCTGCGGAATCTGAGGACCCCGGCATCGCCGCGAGCCCGCCTCGCCGCTTTCCTGAACGCGATATTTGCCAGCGGTGGCCGAAACCCCACAAAGTCGAAGTTCGCCGGATGCCAGGAAGAATCGGCGAGATCGTGCATTAGCAAGATTCCTGCGTCCGCGAGAAGCGGAAAGCAGAGATCGGTTCGGTTCTCGCCGGCGAGCATCGCCGCCGTCGATGACGGTCTTGAGAAGCGGCGTTTTGGCGAAGTTCCGATGGTGACGAGGGATCGGAAGATGGTGTTGGAGGAGTTGCTGAGAGGAGTCGATCTGGAAGTGGAGGAGAGCGATGGCGAGAGCGTGTCGAGCTCGGAGCTGTTCGAACTTGAGAGCCTTTCCGCCATCGGACAGTTCAGGGACGAGCTTCCGGTGTACGAGACGACCAATCTTGCCGCCAATCGCGCCATCGCTCATGGATTTATCGTGTAAATTTAAGTATTTCGAAAAATATGAAATTTGTAATTTCTGCTCGAATATATCACTTCCAGTTTGTTAATCGAAGTTCATGTGTTTGTTATTCTAATATTTAAGTTTACCTGTTAAATTTTTTATTTTATGATTGTATCATATTTATACTTCTAATAAAAATGCAAATAATTTGAAAAATAAAAAATAGAAAAAATTAAATATAAATATAAATTAAGTCATGAAATAAACAATCAGAACAGTAATAACTTAATATTTTATTAAAAAATTTATGATTTATTTGTTAAATGATAATTATATATTTATTTATACACGAATATAAATAAAGAACAGAGTCAACCATCAAGATTGTTCAAGTATAAAATAAATTTTAAACATTTTATTTTAATTTGTTCTATTATATTAATAAATTTTATATGAACAAATATCAAATACTCTTTGGGTGCACTTACTAGCTTATAATACTTATAATATTATTTTTTTTCTACAAAATAATTTTATTCTATCTTTTAAATAAGAACATGCAAAAACAAAAATTCAGCTCCAAAAATTCCCCAAAAAAAAAAAAAATTCAGCTGAGTAAGAAAAAAAATTATATAGAATTTTTATTACAGAAATTTCTAAAAAAAAAATTCTTCACTTTTTAATTTTGAAATTAAGTTTTATGGCATATGAGACATAAGACAAAATATTTCCCCTCAAAATTCAGAGGGAAAATCATCACAGTTTAGCTTAAAATATTTCTATCATGAAAATTTTAATCTAAGAATGATCACGATGGGAGTTAGATTTTAATAATTTTCAATTTTAATTTGTGCTTATTAAATGCTATTTTATTTTATTTAAATATAATTTAAGCAAATATAAGATAGTAATCCTCGACAACAATGAAGATGCAATTGTCATAAAATTCTATAATTTTTGCAAAAAAAAAGGCTTATAATAATTGGGTTATTGGATTATATGCTAAATCACAAGATTAGTGTAAAATGGCTCATAAACCTATTCATTATTTGAATGTTTATAATTTTTTTTGAAGAATTTACACACCACAAATTTTATTATGCATATATATATATTCTAAATTTAATAATTATTTATATTATTTAGAGAAAAGAAATAAGCCTTCAACATCATTGTCCCGAGTACTGTAGACAAAGTTCACGGCCAGATCTAATAGGACCCTTGGAAGTTGGAAGCATAGTTATACGCCCATGCCTTCTTGTAATAAATACAACTATTATAATGAATATCACCCTTGCCTATGCCATGCACTTTGTGATCATTTTAGCTCTGAAAATGAACTGATTTAGACACATTAAGGGTTGAGACAATTTTTTTAGCTTCTTTATTTTTTAGATAATGAGCATAATTTTATTTGATTGCTATTTTTATTATTCAAAAAAAAAAATGCAATGAAAAGCTATATTTTTACTACTAAAATAGTTGAGTTACTTTCTTCACATTAACTTTACATTGAATTTAAAATAATAATTAAAAAAAATTCACAATCAACTTTATAAAGTAATGCATCTGTTTCAAATAGGAGAAATTATTCAGTGCGGAGTCTGAAGGGGAAGAACCATTCGTATGTACACATTGTGTGTACAAAAATTTTATATACACTGTGTATAAATGTGAGCACAGTGTGTACACTCACATGTCCTGACGATTTTTCCTGCCCAGACTTCGCACATAAAAATTTCTCTCCAAATAGACCCTAATATAAAAGCTAATCATTTAAGAATTTATGAACATTTAAAAGATTGGAACCATATATATATCAACAATTTAACACATTTTTATATCATTTCTAAATTATATAAATTAATCATAATTATTTCATAATTTTTGTGAATATGTTGATTATTGCTGATTTTATGGGTTAAAGAAATATTATCTGCTTCAAAGTTATTAGCATTGAAGCTCTTCAGAAATAAGATCTTTTAAAATTTAATTTTCTATAGTTTTTTATTTATTAGAACTTCAAAGAAATGAGGAATATTTTGAAAAGTCGTGTTATTAGATAAGTTATTGTATACAAAGTCTTATATATTGTGATGGAATATGCACGATCAAAGAGAGAGATTATCGATCATTTCAATATTGTACAAAATTCTAGCAAATATATATATGATTTTAAGTCCAATATGATTTTACTACATTGACATGATTTCAATAGTCTTTACCAATATTTTGATTTGATGTTTTATATGATTTATGTACTTATTGGTATTAAGGATAAGATGATTGATTTATAGATTTGACACTCGTGCTGGTTTACTGTTTTATTGGCTTTCGTACTATTGTATTTTTCTATTTATATATTAAATTACTGATGGAATATAAATTTTATTGTTTTTGTATTGATTCAATGATCAATGAATGTAATTGTTATGATTTGATTGTTAACATGCATATTGTTCTTTTATTGTATTTTGAATTCAATTATGAATTTTGGTGACCTGCTGGACTTTTTAACATGATATGTGATTAAATGATTTTATATCAAAGCAGTGAAGCAGGAGTGTGAGGCTAATAAGGATTCTTTAGGCTTTATTTCTTTTTGTTCTAGCTATTTTTTGTACTCATGACAGAATAATTGTGATATGATTGTATAGATCCTGAGTAGTTTATATGCTTTTTAGGAATAAATATAGATGTACATATTAATGAGTTGAATTATAGAATTTAATTTTGTTGTTTATTACTGATATAAGATATTAGATAGCTCTTTTGTTGTTTATTAAAAGATTAAAAGAATAATTCTTCCAAATTAGATTCTAGAACATCATAATTATAGTTTAAGAGATAACTGATCATATTAAGTATAGTGTTAACAATTAGTCTTCCTTGCTCATATGCAAATACTATCTTTTTTATACATTATAAACTCAATATCATATATAAAATATAAAAAATATAAAAATTCATAAACTACAGAGAAATCTATAAAATTTATCTACTATGAATTTACTTTAGAAAATCAATGCTTCTAATTTATATGGTTGAATTCAATAATATTACAATTAAAATACTCAAGAGGATCATATCTATCATATTAAAAAGTTACATGTTCTAAAGTTTGCAAAAAATCAAGATATCAAAAATTTTATATATTTTGGTCAAATTTAAATTCATAAAACACATTATACAAAATCATTGAAATTAGAGAATGGGTAGTAGTTGTCTACCTTGAGATGAACAAAATTTTTAATTAGACGGACTGAAAAATTCAGCTTTACAACTCTCAAATTTAGGTTTTCCTCCCCTTTTTTCCTTAACTTTCCCCTTTTCTTCTCTGTCAAAAAATGAATAGGGAAAAAAATAAATGAAATGACAAAATTTCAATCCTACAAAGTGGGTTAGGATTTTTTATTAAAAAAAATATTAAGTATACAAATGTAATTATGACAATTGTTTAATTTTTAGCATAAAATTATTATAAATTTTTTTATATCTTCAAATCCGGTGCTCTAAAAATACATAATTTTTTAAAAAAATTTGTTAAGCATGTCTAGAATGATCTGATGAAATCAATTTGTAAAACGAACACCTAATAGTTCCAAACAACTCACGTGTATTAACATGTATCAATTTTCTACATTACCCCTAAAATTAGGAGAAAATTATTATTATTAAATCACAATGATATCAATATTACGACAATGACTGTTTATAAATTAGATTTATAATAACTCCTACAATATTATTTGACTGTGTCAAAATATGCTATATTACAACATATAACAGAGAGGACAATTCCTTATAATGTAATTGACATCAATTGCATGAGATAATATTTAGGGTGGAAATAGAGACAATTTTTTTTTTATGGATTTGCATAAATAGACGATTGGTAATCTATTATGTCATATTCCTTATAATAGAGCAAACCAAACACTAAGATGATAGACATTGACTTTGCTTGTGACAACGAGCATCATAATTAGTAAAAAGGGTGGACATCCACCTGGTGGTGCACTGCAAATGTCGGAATTGATGTTACTGGCGGGCACCAACCTTGTTGGTGAAAATATGCAACAGCCTAACATCGGCTGACGCCAGTTGCATTGGTACGTGGATGTTGATATTTATTGTTGACCGACATCGGGGCTAATATTAACGACGGGCATGATCTTATTTTTGAATGCAAGCAAGGGCGTATATTGATATCAGTAATGAGAATCCACCTTGTTGGTGATGATGAGGAGCTCTCACTCTTTACTGTTAGCCAGCAATCTAATGTATTTAAGTACTTATACATTGATGCTCTAAAGAAAAAAAAAAGTATATCTTGCAATAGGGACCAAATTTATAAGGGAGGGCCCAAGCGTAACATTCGCCAAATTAATGCTCTGGCACCAAACGAGACAGCCAACGACAATCTCTTATTCAGTTGATGAATGTGACTTAGACCCAACATAACTAAATATCTTTTTCGATCTGAACGTATTCGGTGACCGGACGTAATAATTGTTCTCTAATAAGACCCTTGGAAGTTGGAAGCATATTTATATGGCCATGCCTTCTTGTAATAAATACAACTATTATAATGAATATCTCCCTTGCCTGTGCCATGCACTTTGTGATCATTTTAGCTCTGAAAATGGACTGATTTAGACACATTTAGGGCTGAGACAATTTTTTTAGCTTCTTTATTTTTTTAGATAATGAGTATAATTTTATTTTTAAAATTTTATTTAATTAGTTTTTACAATTAAAATATTTGAATTATTTTCTTCATATTAACTTCAGAACGAACTTTAAAAAAATTATTAAAAAAATTCACAATCAACTTCATAAAACAAAGCACCTGTTCCAAATAGACACTAATCATTCAACAATTTATGAACATTTCAAAGATTGGAACCATATATCAACAAGTTAACACATTTTTATATCATTTCTAAATTATATATATCATAATTATTACATAAATTTTGTGACTATGTTGTTTATTATTTGATTTTATGGGTTAAAAGAAATAGTATTTGCTTCAAAGTTATTAGTATTGAAGCTCTTCAAAAATCAGATCTTTTAAAATCTAATTTTCTGTTATTTTTTATT